AAGATGTTTCAGGAAGTGTACCTTTGAATGTTATACAGAGTCCCATTCCTTTCACTTAGCAAACCAGGTTGCCTGTAAGCCTTGGGTTCCAGGTACACAGAGGCTGAAAGGCAGAAAACTCCAGGGAAATGAAAATTCCAGAATTGCCATAAATGACCAGTGCTGAGAAAATGCTATTTCATAAACAAAAATCTGATCTGATATTACCTGGAAGAGAGTTTCCTTTGCAGCAGAAAATCTGGGCCGTTTATGAGGCATCCTTATTAAATGGGAGATACTGATAGAGACTTTGAGATCTGGCATAGTGGAAACATTCTTCCCTTATATTCACTTACCTATCTTTAGTAATGGAAAGACAAGGAAATTAATGACATTTTCAGTAGTTCTATCCATGGGATTGATATAAGTACTATGTTCTAAGTTTGATTTAACATTTAACTTTGACTGATACTTGCCCACTCAATTATAGATCTAAAATCTGTGACCTCTGACCATCTGTAATAGGATGAATTGACAAAATGTTTGCCTCTTTTGTACATCAGTAATCTTCTCTTTTAAACTTCTCTCTAAGTTTCTTGGGATCACTGTGGTGCATAATTTACAGCAGGTAGCCTTGGACCAATAACAAGCTCAAGGTCCAGTGTCTCATGATTTTCATTTTGCTTAGAAGACAAATGCATTATCTTAGCTGGAGGAAACTGTTGATTTCTAACCTCGCTAATTTGTAGGATATTTTATCTTCAGACCATAATGTTATGATTTGTGAAGCAGCTATTTTAGATCAAATTTAAAGGATTTTGCACTGTTTATTGTATTTCTTTTGGTGAGAGCTAGAAATCTGTAATCCATCCAAAGTACACTCAATCATAAATATTGACAGAGAAAAATTTACATAAACTTGCTCCCCTAAAGAGTGCCTCCACAGCCAAGTGTTCCCACTGTTACACATTATCAGACAAAGAAAGAAGAGTGCCTGAGGGTGAAAAAAATCCGTTCATTAAGAATATTTATTTGGAGAAGGGTTTCTGTGCTTATATAGTGGATAAAATGAGTGTCCTAGTGCATGGCTGTCACCACTTGATACTACCATAGGACAACTAAAACAGTGCATGTAACAGTGATATGCACAGACATTTAAAATTTTCTATAGTCCAGGTAATATTCTATCAAAGTTAGAGCAGTAAAATTATCTGGAAATTGTTCCGCTGACAAGCTGGGTGATGCCCCATTTTAATGGGCTAGCATCCAACTTTACAGCTGGGTTTCTTCTTTATGCTTTTCAGCTCATTTGTTTCAGCAATGACTTACCATGTAGTAGAATAAATAATTTTAAGCAAAATTTTCAATATCATAGTTCAAGGGACATCTGGCTTCACACAATCCCACTTACTGATGTAGGAGTATTTAAATGGGTTGGGTTTGAACTGAATAATGAACAAAAGTAAATGATGCTATATTCTGTTACAGTTACCCACAAAATGTGATATCTTGACATTGCAATGGCAGCATTTGTTTTTTGGTCTTAGCTTAAGAGCATTTGAATAGCTGTGGCCATATTTCAAAATTTAGTTTTGCAGGTAATCCTCCAAAGCACTATTACTGTTCTTGCTCAATGGGAGAAAAGGTGTTTCATCTATCTATCTGGCAAATATATTTCCATAATATGCTTTATGGGTTCTTTTCACTACTTCCGTTTTATGTTGCTTTAGAATAGCTTTGATATCTGAGTTCCTATGTACTTGTACAGTGGCTTGTGTCTTTTAACATCTCTAAACTTGTAATAACGTTAGATGACTTATCAAACTTTTGTTTTAATTTTACATAAATCAAATCTATTGTGCAAGGGATCTGGACTAAAAGATTGTGAACATCTACCAGTGATCCGTTCATATGTACTGAGATATAAAAGTACTTTTCCTTGGATGAGCATTCTATTACTAGGATGTTTTAAACAGATCATTGGTGTGAATGACAATCTCTTCCTTAGACTTCCCTCCCCACCCCAGGTGACTATGTCATCATCATAAGAAATAGAGGGTTTAGTCCTTGATTTGTAATAATTAAGTCTCTTGCATCAGAGAACAGCTGGGCCCTCTGTTCTGTTCATTCCAAGTTTCCATCTTGATTTGGGGCAGCAGCTAGATCATTCCAGTTTTCATTTATGGAAACCTTCCTTCCTACCAGTGTGCACTGCGTTGTTGCTCTGCTTATGTTCAGCATATTAAGTTATCCTAATACATTCAATGAATTTGCAGTGTTTCTTTGGCTTTCTTTAAAGTGTAAAAATGAAGCTGCAGGTTGGCTTATTTTTTGCTGATTAGTCTGTTTGGTCTGTTAATTTAGGATAGTTTCTAAGGTTCTATTTTTTCTTAGCAATCCAAATGTGTTTGTCATGTATGCTTTGTAAAATTCCATTATCACCCTCTTCCTAAATCAAAGAGAAATCAAAGAGAGATTGGTTCATGTTATATATTCTTATCAAACTGGATCATTACCTACACAGCCTTAATTTGCAATGTGTAGTGGATACACATGTTGTATGTTTGAGGCAAATCCTGGAGACCATTCTCAAGGAAAATTCCCACCGACGTCAATATGAGTTTTGTCTGAGTAAAGATTTAGATTTCATGATTTGGCTCTTTGTTTTAAGGACGGGAATTATCATTTTCTACTCTGAGCACTCATTTGGCCTCAAAGTACCTTGGCTCACATGGTTTTCAATAAGTGTCTGGCAGCTGTACTGGCAAAATTCCAGCATCGTGGGATTCATATTTATCCCTACATGGACATTTGGACTTCAAGTCATCACAACTATTTCTAGCTTATTGTCCTAAGTGTAGAACTCTTCCCATTTTCAGACAAAGCATTGTTTCTGAATCGCACTCTTTTTACAGCAGAGTGGAATTGTTCCTTCACATCCATGTATATATGACCAGGATCAAATACCTCTAACTCTGTATTGTAAAGAAACGTTTCATGCACTATACTCATAAAAAGAATATACAGATACATGCATTCCAGGAGGCACTGTGGTCTGTTCAGTCAAGGGTAAGATGACTTGGCAGATTCAGTGAAGACAGATCAACTAATTTTCCAATCCAGATGTAGGTATATGAAATGCAGTAAAAAGGACATTGAAATGTCTTACTAGGAAAACTAAACATAACTTGACCAAATTTGAACAGATTATGCACTCAAAGCAAAACTGTCAATAGCAAAAATGTAAGTTACATTACAATGTTTTTCTTGGCATTTTATTTTCTCACCCTATTTTTGTTCAGACCAATTTTCAGAAGTTGCTCTGACCTCTGGCAGCTGCCTCTGGTGTCCCAGAATGCTTTGCTTAGCAGAAAATTAAAAAAAAAAAAAAAAAAAAAAAAAAAAAAGAAGTAAAGAAAGCCAATTCTGTTCTGCAGGTGCTCCCATAGTGTGATTAGATCTCCTCAATTTCTTACAGCTTCATTTATCTCATTTCCCTACTTTCATCAAGCTGTCTCCTCTGATGTAGCCATCCATGACTGATGCCTCCATCCTTTCTTCATTTAAGTCTAAAGATGTTTCTGACCTTTGAACCTCATTTATGGAAGTGTGATACAAATTAATGCAAATCAACAAGCTAGTGAAAACTTACAAAACATGAAGATATGCGCAGTGAACACAGCATCTTTAAAGACTGACTGTTGTATCTTTGTCTTTCTTTTCCCCAACCTGCTCACCACCATTTTTTGCTTCTAATCAACTTTAGTAATGCCAGAGATTGTCCATGCCTCATTATTTCTTGGAGTTCCACATACACTCCTAGCACTTTGTAAGTAATAACACCAGTGACCCTTGTGACAAGAAGTGCTATAGTAATTCCTGAACTTCATTCACTGTGGTATTGATTTTTACATGAAGCATAAGTAATGTATAAGAAGTCTGCAATTCAAAGAGTGTCACACTTGCACCCTTAGAACATCTTTTATTAATTTGAATAGTACATGAAATGACATGTGTAAAACAAGCTGTCGTGCAGTTTAATTATGTTTTTATGGTATAGCATCACAATGCTGGAGTCTCAGAGGCATAGCCCTACTTGAGCTTTAGAGAAAAAAAGGTTCCTTCAGGCCTCCCATGTTAGTACCAGGCTCCCTGGGAGCAGTAGAACGCACGTACCATTTGTGGGACTGCCTTTAGGGCAGAGATACACATGACTTGTTCACAGAGTTCGAAAAGATACGGAAATATATGTATGCACCTATGCACATTTGCACAAGGCAGATCCCGCCATCAGCTGCGCTCACTCAGTAGCTGTCCCTGGGCCCCAGTCTCCCCAGTTGCTGTCACCCAGAGGTACAAGCCCACAACACTCCATCCCTTCTCCAGGTGCTCACTCACACATACGTCCTGCTCCCCCAGAGCTGGCTGGGATTCCTCTAGTCCCCAGGCAGCCAACCCACCCTGGTCTTGACCTTGAAGACACACAAACACACACTCCAGTGTGAGTGTGACTGCAGTGAATAGCACTCTTAGAGATCCCCAGACCCTGTGGTCTCTCTGGAAGTTGGCTGGGACTCCCCTGGTCCCTCTGATAGCCAGCTGCACTGTGGTCTCATCCTTGGGCACTCACACCTCCCTAGCTCCCAGGCACTTTACCCACTTGCCAGCTGCTTCAGTTTGATCTCCACTAGTGCTTACATACTCAGTCTCACACCTGCATTTGCTCCACTATTTACATGTGACCAACCCTTTTCATCCCCTTATCCCTCTAATTTTTCACAGTTGTTCCTCTTCACATGACCTAAACCTCTCCCTTCCCCACTTTTGGTTCCTCCCCTAAGCATCCCATAATGTATCCCGTACCTCTAGGCAGTGAATCATGCTAGTCCAGAAGGTGCTGTGTTGTTGAATCATCTTGATGGCTTGGATTGTGAATAAGTGACCGGAACTTTTTTTCCTTTTCTCTTAATCATAATCACACATCTGGTCTTTTTTTTTTTTTTTTTCTCTCCCTTTTTCAGGAGCATCCCAGACCAGAGTATGAAATCAAACTGCTGCAGAAAAAGCTGAAACATAAAAACAACTCAACCGAAAATTCAAATGAAGTAAGATGCAACTTATTATTTTCACTTGTATTGGATCTGTGTTTTGTTACATGGTGATTGGTTTTTTGTCTGTCTCTGATGGATAGTTTGCAAAATGCACTTTTTGGTGTTCTTAATCAGCCTTGTAAGTTGCTCACTAGGGGTCTGGTGTTGTGCAGCCCTGCACTGTCATAGAAAGGCTTTGAGGTCATCACTTTGCTAGCTCTGCAAAATAAAGTAAATTTCACAGAAGTATGGTTGACAGGTGGTTCAGGGTCTAATCCATAGAGTCATGGATGATTAGAAAGATAATCACCACAGGAATTCTTATAACAATGACCTAGAATTTCAGTACTTTGTGGACAGTAAAGAAAAAAGCTTTTATTATAATGATTTCCTTTGCATAGGTAACATTGGCATCTTAAGTCATGTTGCAGTTACACACTTGTGAAGTTTTGATAACATTTCCAGTATAAATGAAAAATTAAGAATTGGTATAACATTTTTAGATTGAAATGTCTAGGCTTTCTATGGCTATTTCAAACCTAAGAACAAGCACTATTTTTCCCCCTATCTCCTCTTGTAAAATGCTGATTGAAGCCTATTTCCTGAGCACTCATAAGTCCCTGTAGACTTTGCCAATTAGGCTTGGTTAACCATTGCTTATTCCCTCCATGCCACATTCACCAGCAAAGCCAAAGCATTACAAAATTATGTCCTATTTCCAGGTAGAAGGAAACAGTTTAATTTGTTTACACATAGAGAACTAGTATCTGAAGTGGAGGATACTCCAGTTTTCAGGTTTGGTCCAACAAATTTAACCTTGTAGTTTCTGAAAGAACTTAATCATCCCTTTCTTCTGCTGATAACTGTCAAGATTGTGAAGTGTTACCAGTGAATTTTTTATCTCAGTGACACTGCTCTTCCCCTGTTGGGCCCAACCAAACTCCACATAAGCCAATGGAAAGATTCTCAATTACTTTAATAGTCTTTGGATCTTGCCCAATATGAGCAGGGATGCTCACACAGCATTATGGGGAGGTCTTCTATTATACATTAAACAGTTCTTTAAGCCTTCCAAGTGAAGGATCAAAGACTACAGAAGACGGATAAAGCAGCTGCTGCTGTTCAGCTTTTTCTGACTTAAAGTAAGCAAAATCTGGAAACAAGTCAGTGACTGATGCTATAGAATATTAGACTTTTGTAGTCATGAGGTAATGTTAGGTAATTATTCTTGCTTAAATGAGACACAGAAATCACATTATAAATTAGACATTAATTTAAGGTGAAAGAAAGCAATGAAAAATGCTAAGAGTGTAGTTGGAAAATGAGGAACAATGTAAATATCCAGCACTATAAGTATGGGAAGAACGCCTTTCAGACATCAAGAAGGAAAAGTCTTTCCTGGAATATTTTTTCTGAAATTATTTTTTGTGCCACTGTAGATGGGAAAATAACACTCAGGAAGAAAATATTTGTTTCAGGTTTTGGGCCTATCTGTATGCAGACTTCTATGTCCTTATAGGAGAAAAAACTCTTGATTTTTCATAATATTTAATTCTGAAGTAATTTGGGGAAAAAAAAAAAAAGTTAATTGAGTCATTTAAGTATTTTCTGGAAAAGTTTCCCAGAGTCATCTCAATCCCTTTTCTAAACCATTAAAATTTAATGTACTTTAACATTTGCTGTCAAACAGTTACTCATTGGGAAGAAAGATTTTTTTGTACAGCAGAACATTTCAGTTGGGTAGATTAAGGTAAACTTCTAAAATAATGAATTCATCCTGCAATTTACTGACTAACATCTCTCCCCAAATTACAGAAATATATTCCAAACATCTGAGCAGTTTTCCATCAGTCAACATTTTGCTTACTATTTCTGTTGCAATCACTTTTTTGATTTCCCTTAAATTCTTTCCAACAAACAGCACATTAGTCTGGGTTTGGAAGATGTGTTGCTCAGTGGTTTGTACCTCAATGTCTTCTGATATTATAAGGGCATGGCATGTTTGTGTGAGACCTGCTGAAGAGGAAAAAATCCAGTTCTTTAATTGAACTGTTATGTTTAATATAACTGTGGTAATGTACCATTACATTTTGCTTTGAAAGTTCCTGAAAAGTTAGACACTAAAAGTGATGAGTATTTAAGACTGCAATATTTCTTCTGCCTAATTTTTAGAGGTTTTAATATTTTCTTCTTCCTCCTTCAGATGGCTGTATGTTATACTCATTGTAAGACCATTAGCTCAGGAGCCTTTTCATGGCAGGTTAATATTAAGGCACAGGTTTCTGTGAGGTCTCTGGCTCAGTACTTCTGTCTTGTTGGGTGGAAGCCAGGGTACAGGACTTTGTCATATTAATAGCGCAGTTCTAGTGTCTGGACAGGCATCAAAGTAGAGGTCTCTCTGTAGTTAAAGATTCAGTCCTCCTAATTTCTTGGGTTTTTATGAATGCACAGATGCCTGTGAGGTCTCAGTCTCATCATATTTTGGTTGACAGTCTAATGTCATGGTATAAGTTTCTGTGAAGTTCTCGCCTGAATATTTTTAGTTAACTAGTGTAATTTAAACACATATCTTTTGGGTGTAGCTGGTCAACAACTGTAGTGTAATGTGTTGATATCAAAGGACAGGCTCTGGCATCACTGCCTAAAACTTTTCATTATTTATCTAATATGAAATCAGAAGTCTCCAGTTCAGCAGCTGTGACTTGTTGGGATAAAAATGATGCCAAAGCTATGGCTATTGTGAGAACACTGATTTAGAGCTTACTTGAAGGCATATATTTCTATAAAATTACTGGCTTGTTTCCAGTATGTTAATTCCTCTGTTCTGGTGAGGATGTGACTAGTCTTATGGCAAGAAACTGAGCTTTTATGTGGAAAGCTCTGTGTACGGTGCAATTTTTTTTTCTTGCCTTACTCCAGCAAGAAGTTCCTGTGAAGCTAATTGGGTTATTTTTGCAATGAAGGGATAGGGGTTTAGTTATGGGCTAGTTTTATGATTGCAGAAGAAAACTGACACCACTTACATACTCTCTTAAATAATAACTTGGGAATACCTGTTAAGAAGAAACCTACTTCAACATATAGTTTTCCTTGTCTGCTGTTGAAGTCATTAACTTAAGTGTGGAAGATGTCTAGCACCTGTCAGGGCCAGTAAACATATGAGTCACTCTACCCAGGCAACAAATTTCAAATCACCTTGATGAGACTGGCAATAAAAAGTATTACAGATCTAATGTATTACTTGCCTGATGTTTTTTCTGTTGCAGACTACAGTTTTCATACAAATACTATTTAGCATATTTATGCTACTGTAATAAGCAAAGAAAATAAATTCACCCTACACCACTCTGTGTGGTTCAGGCTGTTTTAATAAATATTTTATTGGTTATTCTGAAAGCGGGAAAGAAACTGTGAGGGCTCAGAGAACTTCACAAAACATTGATGAGAAGTTACTCTTACAATAACACCCTAAGGTTCTACTATTATTAGAAGAGAATTCATTTAAAGGTAAAGGAGTCGAAACGTTTACATGAAATGCCTCAGGTTAAGTAGCAAATGCATAAACAGACCACCTTCATGAATTATGACATTAATTTAGAAAAATAACAAGTTTTAAGGGACTGATTCTGGAATCCTGCAATGATAGGGCTTATAATCAGTAGCAATATTTGATTCTTTGTGGTCACATAAATAAAGGCTTGCAATGTAAAGCTTCTTGATTCATGTACATTAAAAAGTTTCTTCATCCTTACAGCAGAGCTGAAGGCTTATGTGTACATGTATGAATGCATGTGTCTGATAATACATTCATGCAAATATGGCTGATGCAATTTTTGTAATAGACCCATTCATGATATTTTTTGTTGTTCTTGTTTATTACACTATAACATGTAAGATGTGGATGGAAATATTCAAGGAATAGGATAAAGTTACTGTATCTGCAGAATATTAACTAAAAAAGGTGTTGGATATTTGTAATCTTCTGAGAAGTTGTTCCTCTCTCTGTGCAATAGTAACGTTCTCAAAGGAAAGATATGCAGGTCAGGAAATGAAGATTGGTCTTGTGCCTGAAAACATGCAGATGGGGCTAGATCCAACTCTCACTGGGGCTGATGGAAAGAAAACCTTCCAGTCATTTCTGGAAGAGATGGATCAGGCCCTGACTCCTTTTCATTAAACGTCCAGCTGACCTGGCAAACATGACGCAACATCATATATATTCTTATCTTTCCTATTTGGCAGGAAACCAAATAACTCATTCTGCATATTTCTCAAGGAAAATTTTCATTATAGAAAAAAAGGGCTTGTCTTTTGGCTCATGTCCTTACTTGGAGCAAACCCTGGGAATAATAGAATCTGGCATTCTATCTTGCCTTTAATTCATTTTAAATATGAAAGTGGCAAAATAAGTTATTTAAATTGTTAATTCAGCTGGTAATTGAAATGAAAGAAGTATTTCTTTCTGAACCATTGTTTCAGTTAACAACTGAATTAAAGCAAGCTGGTTTGAAGAGAGAGGTCTCTAGCATAAAGGTCATACAGGAAAATATAAAGTAGAATTGTATGTTGCTGATGAATATATATATATATTTTTAAAATGTCAACATTGCAAAACATGAAATAGTAATTCTTGTTACTAGTTGGTTCCTTACCCAGTTTTGCATAAGCAAATCTCCCCCAAGGCCTCAGAAACACTTCAGATGTTGGAGCCCATCTCTTTATTAAGCAAGTCCTTGATAAGATTAAAGAATTCAAATAAAATATTAGCTGTAATTCTGTAGAAGAAACGAAGTTCATAAATACTAAATTGAACAATCAGAAATGTAAAAGAATTGTGAATAAACCCATGAGTTCCTTAATCACTAATTTTGAAAAAATACTATTTTAACATTTACTGGACGTTATTATTAATGTGATAAAAGCACCAATTTTGATCCAGTATTTCTTAAATTGGCCACTGTCTTTCCAGCCTGTTTCATTGCTATACTTTGACAAATAACTTCACTTTCAGAGCA